TAAATAAACTGTAAAGTAAGTAAATAAAGTAAATAAACTGTAAAGTAAAAATGATTAAAATACAAACCATCATTCCTGGTCCTGGACCCCAAATGTTTTACATGATCACAATACTTTTATTTGTGTTTCAAGCTTTTCATCAGTGATTGTGAGGCCGTCAGACACAGTTTTTAATGTGCAACACACAGGCAGATACAGGTTATTTATAACACTAATAAAACTAAAGTTTGGACGGAAGGAGCATGCTGGTATAAACACACTGAACCGTGCGAAATAACACTGATTTTACGGTTTATTAAGATAAACAGAATACGTTTCGTGTCTCACTTCTGTGTATTTCCGCCTCGGCTCATCAAAGACAACATAAACTTCATCAAATATATCTAAAAACTTTATTTAAAACCTGTTTTAGTTTTTACTCACCATCGCTTCCAGCTTTTCAACAGTCACCTCCATCTTGAATGTTGTTCGAGTCGTGTGATTGGTTAAATGTCAGGAGTGAAGAAAGCTGATTGGCCAGCTGAACAGTCTGCTGCGACGTTCAATGACAGCTGAGAAATCGGATTTCTCACTACCAAAGCACGGTTACCAAACCAGGCCTTTCTTCTTTTAGCTTAGCATGATAAAGCCAAAACTCTCAGAAAATATGAGTACTACAGTGGTTCTGATGAGACTTTGTTAATTCAGACTTTCTCTTTTAACTTAGTTCAGAAATACACATAAACAGGTTTTAGCATTGACCATTATGACCACATGTCAAAGTCAGGGCCCGTGGGCCAAATTTGTCCGTCCTTAACATTTCATCTGGCCCAATATGTATTTTAAATGTAAAATAGTTTTATTGCTTTTCTTTTAGCTAAAAGAAAATTAAGCTTGTTTAAGTACAATCTTCTCCAAAATCTTTCAGTAATGTTTGATTTTGGTTTGGAATGAGCAATAGAGAACATTAATTCAAATTCAGTTCAATTCAAAAATACTTTATTGATATCAGAGGGAAATTAGGTAATGACTGAGGTAAATGAGACCAAGCTACTGTAATTCTTTAGGAATAGTTTGTTATATTAGACTTAAACCATGATCATTATTATTATTTTCAATAAATATTGACCAAGATTGGCCCTTGGCTTGGACAAGTTTTAATTGTGGCCCCTTGTTTTGACACCCCTGATTTTGACCATGTGACTGACAGAAACAAAATGCCAATGTCCAAATGGAATCAATGAAGARGGTTAATCAGCTGTTTATGACTTAGTGGCTCTAATACTTTTGTTATGCTATAAGATTAACATTTTTACACAGTAATATAACACCGTTTTGCCTAAAAATATCTCATACATTTCACATTTGGTAAAAGCCTAGCCTTACCCAGAGTTAATAAAGATCTTTATTTTGTGAGGTGAGAGCTGTATCCATAAAACCTTGAAATCAACATGGTTTTCGCACGTCAAGGTCAACCATATCTGCATTCATTTTATTCACTGAACAAATACGTACTGCTTTGAACAAAGGTCAAGTAACTGGTGCTGTATATATTGATTTTTGCAAAGCGTTTGACACAGTTGATCATTATACTCTCTTACAAAAGTTGATTTCTTTTCAACTTTCATCATCTGCAATACAAATGTTTTCCTCTTATTTGACTGATAGGTGTCAGGTTGTGAAAGCTCTGTGTCCGGGTCTCTGCCCTGTTCCGTGGGAGTTCCGCAGGGTAGCATACTGGGGGGGTCGACCCAGCCTGGGTGTCCTTGTGTTATATGT